GGCTACAAGCGAGGGTCCCTGGTTCGAGTCCTGGTGGTGACAGTCAATTTTTTCTTCAGACTTTTCCCGTTTGTCTCTTTCCCTCAAACCAGTGCAGTTAACATTATCATTATGTCTCCTTTATTCACTTCTTTCGAAGGCGATAAGCCAGACCCACCGGGAAATATTTCCATGGGTGGGACAGCAAAAAGAAAGTGAAAAAATAAAAAGCCAAAAACCAAAGGGACAAGAAATAGGGGAAGGAAACCAAAGGGACAAGAAATAGGGGAAGGAAACCAAAGGCACAAGAAATAGGGGAAGGAAACCAAAGGGACAAGAAATTGGGGAAGGAAACCAAAGGGACAAGAACTAGGGGAAGGAAACCAAAGGGACAAGAAATTATTATTATTATTATTATTATTATTATTATCATTATTAACATTTTGATAGGGCAATCCCCACAGGCCTAAGGCCTTCTTACAGGGTACCCTAAATGTGCCAATACAAGAAACAGATGTGCATAGGCGAATGTCAGCAGGTAGAGAGTTCCACCGATCCGAGCCTAGAAAACTAAGAGAAAAAAGACCATACCATATGATAGGAGAGTCCAATACTGCCAAACTCGTCGAGCCCCATGCAGACATACGACACTCGAGCGCAACAGGGCGGAAGGGCAGCAACGATTGGGCAACCAGCAGGGACTTAACGCCTCTTTGCCACACAGCGACTGGACAGTGGAGGTGTGCGATCCGGTACACCAGAGCAGCAGCACCCTTGCCACATCCTCCAGTGGAAGAGAGGACAATCGAGAGAAAAGCGGACCGCCCCACTTCTCGGACTCTCCGGCCATAGCGATGCCGTTTCTCTTGCTCGTGGTGCCGGTAGTAAAGATATGCGACAGGCTAGGAAAGAAGGAAGGAAAAGACCATCGTCCCCTCCTTTGTTCGAAGACACAAAATAATTGTAAAGGTTGAACACCACTGTCCCGTACATCAATAAGCGTGCACTCGAACCGAACCCCCTCTAACTCCGCTGGCCACCACGTCCAAATGAGCTTGATCCTCGGTTGCATGATGCTGACCGGAGCTGGAACTACTCCCCAGTCAGTGATTGCCTGATTGGCCGCCGCAATGGCCGGGCCGCGGGAGATGATCA